GGGTTGAATTTTGGGTACCCATTTTTGACCGGCAGCCATTTGCCGTTTCCTTACCTTTTTCTTTGACCTTCTTGAGGCTTCTCTCTGGAGAACATGACTGCTTCCCAATCACGAACAAAAGGAGAGCTTGCTGCAGTGCGTTCCGAATCAATGACGAGTGATTTATAGACAGCTGCCCACATAACAAGCTTCCCGATCCGCGGGTACAACAAGCTCTCCCAGATTATTGTCCCCAATCTTGTCCCTGTCCCTTACTTGTTTTCAGAAGTGTTGCACACGTTGCCCACATGTTGCCATGTTGCAGATCCCAAATGATCTGTTGAACCTGTTATAGTTTTGAAAGCATAGCACTTTGCGAGAGTGTTTATGTAGGTGTTTCTTGACGCAGGCAAAACTGCTGCCCAAGCTTTGCAGAACTGCCGCGTAGCCAAACACCTACCTTCAGAGTTTGCACAATTGTTTCAGATCATTGTTGTGATTGGCTCACGTGCTGCTGCTCAAAAGAGTCCGGAACTGCACAGCAGTTGCCATTGTGCTGGTGTTGATGGTGCTGTCAAGTGCGTGTGCGATTATTGTGCATGCGCTATTTTTAAAATAACATATCTTATGCGCAGCCTGCTAGGCTCATAAACGTGGGCGGCTTCATTGATGTTGGCATGTTGAGGCCAAGCACGCTCGAGCGGAGTCAAGAACTGTTGACATACTCGCTCTGGAACGCCGTGGTTTCAGTGGATTCAGCCAGCTTGTGAGTGCTTGACAGCTGTCAAATGGGTGTGTGTGTGTGTGTGTTTAAATGCACATATTTCGCTTGGTTTGCGGTTGACTTCCCTTCTCAGCGACCCCAAATGCAGCTCACAGACCCCACCAGGTCCTGGAGCGACATGGCTGCAGTCGCAAGGCCAGAACCTTCCTACAAAGTGATTTGCAGCGAGTGACGCTTTTATGTCACCCAGTGAAAGAGAGATACCATGAAAGTAGGTACGGAGGGATTCCTTACCTCCAGGAATTAATTACATGGCTTCCCGTGGTTACCCACTGGGACGATAATGGGAACCCAGGATTAGTAAGGCTCTGATTGATTAAGAAGTAGGGTGGTTTCAGCAGTGTCCTCGTCTAGCGGTTTATTCAGCCCGACACCAGAACCCTCCCCCCCAATTAGTAGGTAGGACAGGAATCGCTTTGAGAGGCCAAGCTGCGACATGGCCACAAGACGGGCTTCTTCCTTGACCAGCGCCCAAATCGGTGCCTTTGCGACGGAATAAATCTGGGTGTCTCGTTTTGAGTGTACCCTTTTTGCTTCGTTTTGGAGAAAAATCAACTATTTGGAGGGTTCGCCTATTTTGAGGCAGATATATTGAGCCAAACCTAATGCAGGCTGTGGAGACCCTAAACCGGTACGATAGACACACGGCTGCGGCTTGCATCGCCTGGCATGTGTAGTATTGCACCTCCCCCCAGGCTCGCACAACACACCTGGTTTGGGTGGTGAACAGACGGCTGCCATTCGTGTTAGGCTCAGCAGATCCAGGCCCCAGACTCCTTTCAGAATCTTGTTTTCATCGCATGTGCCAGGAACGCTCAGGTGCGATTCATCGCTTTTTCTTTTCTCCCCCGCATGAAACTTTTGAAGCCTATTTGTTTTGTTTCTCACACGGCTTTTCGGTAAGTTCCGCATGTGTCTGTAATTCGTTCGGGAAGTTATCCGTCTTCAGGCACCCTAAACCCTAAACCCCTACAAACATGGAAGCACAGTCCTTCACGGAAACACTGGTCCCCTTCTTCCCGCTCGCTTTCCAGAAACCAATTCCCAGGAAGCGGCTTCGAGAGCTCGCCGAGGGCAAGGACAGTGCGATGGTCACTCCGTTGGCGGATTTGGCACTTCCTTGGATGGTAATTATGACAATATGGATGTGTGGGTCAAAAATAGGTTCCCAAATGTGTGGGTCAAAATAGGGTAACCCCAAAACGCAACCCTGGAAGACTAAAACCTGCGGTCCCCTGGTGGTATAATTTTGACGCAAACCCATGTGTTTGTCTCGGGTTGACCTATGGGTGTCCTCTTGAAGGTATGGCAGACTGGCTCCGAAAACAGGTGACGTCAAAGGGCCATTTTGCGCAGGACGGAAATCTGCCATGTGGTTCTGGATGTCGGTACTCTCCAAATGGAGACAACAAGCACGCAATTTGCATGTGCTGCTATTGGTTTTCGTCTGAACATGATTGCAAGGCCAAGGGTATTTACCAACCAGCTAAACCCTGGCACCCCTAGAGACGGAACACCAGCACGAGGTATTCAATCATGTCAAAGGGATTGGCCGAACCGGCTGGGCGCCCCTTGAGACAAGGCACAGTGAGCCGTCTCGTGACGTGTCAAGGTTGAGCCTTCTACACGGGGTGAATAAGATCAATCAATCAAGATCATGTGGATCTGAAGGCAGGGAAGGAGAGATTCGGCCAGCATTCTGGTTGTGCAGACGTGACTTGGATAAATGGCACGGGCATTGCGTTTTTGGTATTTGTGTTTTTGCTTTTCTGTCTTCTGGGCGCGGGTCCGCTTGAGGGGCTTGCGTGTCCCTTTGTGTCACGTCGCGGCAACGTCTCCAGGATGTGCTGGACCTCTTCAGTGGCTTGGCGGCGACGGCGGAGCCCAGAGGGCTGACCAGCATGAGACGCCATGGCGCGCCCAGGCCCATCGAAGGTGTTGGACCACCATGTAATTACATTCAAGGACGTCATATCGCGTTTCATGCGTTTCTAAGAGATTGAACGATGATTGGGGTTGGTTTCTAAACAGTTGGTTTGTTGCGTTCGGCTCCACGGGTCCTGTTTCAATCTCCGGCCTCCCTGCTAAACGCAGACTCACCCCTCCGGCTTTGTGTTTGTTTTGTTTCTTGTAGTTACGAGAACTAGCCCATGCTCGAAGAATGTTGGTCTTGTCCGAGAACAGTCTCTTGTGTCCAACAAATATTTATTGCTATTTGTTTGTCTAAACAGGTTGCGCACGACTCGCAGGTACTTTGACAGTGTCAGATCTGGAATATGGGTATGTTTGCCATGTCTCAGCGGGTAGGTGTCTACAGTTTCAGCCATTATGCTTGATTTATAAGCATCAGCTGCCTTTGTCTAGAGCCTGCATCACATGAAGTTTGCTTACTTATTTGGGCTAGATATGTTTGTTTGTTGGCAGCACCGTAGGCCGCACATGAAGTATATATCATAGACATCCTCCGACAGTCTTTAACATAGTCACACACACACGCAGACGAACAGCTTGTTTGTTTCCCGCGTCAGCGCCCCAAGGGTCCTTTGTCGCGCACAATGCGTTGTTTAAAACAACCACAACTAAGCTAACAACAACTCAATGGAATCGTTTAGCTTGGGCTTCACGATTTCCCCATGGGAGTGGCATGCCCCATATATGGTCACAACCGCGTTGGATGTTGTGTTCCCAGCGCCAGCTTGGTCAATTTGTCGCCAGAGGGTCATGTCAAGGATGTCATTTGTAGTCGAGACCATCAGTTTCTGAGAGAGTGCCTCAACCCTTTTGAGGCACCTGAAATTGCAAGTTCCCTCTCACATAAATCAGACACCTCCGAATTTTTGCGTATCAAATCAGCAGATTTGGAGAAGCATCAGCACCCTTACCTTTTCTTGCTGGTGCTCAGGGAATGAGGGAATCCTTCCCTATAAACCCTCCGGCTCTCCTAGGTCCCCCAGTAGTGCCCTTTAACTCTTTTTTGGGGGAGGGTTCCCCTACTACAATAGACTACAGAAAAAAGGGGACCCTCATTCTAACCTCTCTGGAGGACCTAGTCTCAAAACCGTTTTCCCAACCAATCCCCTCCGCGCCTCGCCGGGGTTCAGCCCCCCCCCCGCCGCCCGAGGCTACACCGGCGGCTTCGCCCTGGCGGCGGCCATGCAGGGCGCTGCCACCTGGGCGGTGGACCAAGCGCCCAAGGCCATGGAGGCGCCGAACGGCGATCCGTTCGCGCTCCGTTCACCGCGTTCGCCGTGTGTGCCGCGGTTTTCCTTTAAGGGGGAAGCCTGGGTTTCTCGCGAAAAGAACGAGAACCCCGGCAGCAAGCTCCACCTTTGCCGTTGTTTTTTTCCGGGTCCAAAATCCGAATGTCCAAAAAGCAGTGGTTGGGACCAAGGGGGCTGGGAGGCTTGTGTGTGCCTTTGTTTGTCGGTGCCATGTTGTTTGTTTGTGTCTGTCTTTGGAGGGAAATCCTGGGGTCGGCAAAACGATTGCTCGTTGGGCCTTGATGGCGGTCGCTGCCTTTTCCAGGGGATACCAAGAAGGGTCCCCAATTTTGACAACTCCATGGTTGTGGAAAGTCTGTTTTTTAGTTTGCCACTTTCTGTGAAGAATCCCCGTGACAGCAAGAAGTCTTGGGAATCTCTCACTTTGGTATCACGGGAATGTTCTACGGGAAGGCGTCAGAACGCAGAGTTGAACAGGCAGACTTGGTCTTAAGAGAGAACTTTCCAAAAGCCAATTTGAGGAGTAATTCCCGGTTCGGCTTGTGCCTTTGTTTGCCCAGAAAGGTTGGGTTCGGCGATGAGGTTAGCATTGAGCATGTGATTTTATTGGGATGCAATCGAAAGAAGGAAGAAAACTGAGAACTCCCATGAGATATCACAGCGCAACGGCCATGATCGGATTTGGATGTAGTCTGATTCCTCCCACACATTTTGCCAGGATTTTGTCCAGACTGTGGTGCGTGAGACAAAAGTAAGGGCGCATGGTTTAGTAGGTTTTTGTATCCTGATTTTGTTTGTCTTGCACTATTTGCACTTTTGTCAGCTTGCTTGTCCGATCCTTTGACAAAGAGCAAGCTTATATTGGGGTTGCCGTGGACTGTGAACTACAGTACATGCATGAATCCGTACATTGCACACCGCCTTGAGTCACGTCAGACTTTGCACAACCAACTCAAGAGAACCGAACTCATTCCCAGGGTTGTGGGATCAAGGGGTTTATCCCCCCACTTCTGCAATATTGGGGGGTTTAGTCTTTGGGAAGTCGGAAGCCATGGAAGCCCTTGCTGTTGTATCACAGAAGTGGATTCCATTTCCCACAGCCCATCGACTCATTCGCCTTTGGGACGCAGGAATGCCGCCGCAACTTTGCCTTGAACGGACTGGACGCCAAGGCGCTCGGATCTTGCAAGGGTCATGGGTGACTCAAATGGAAACTGAGGAAGACTGGTTCAGAATCGAAGCCGCGGGCTATGTATGGCTATGTCCAGCTCTCAAGGGTGTTCTCCTTCCCCTGGAAGAATGGGGTTTATTCATGGGGTTTATTCATGGGGCGACCATGCCGGACGTTTCCATGTTTCGCGCAGCAACATCCGTGGATGTGGGTGCCCAACATGCCGCGTTGAAACTCTGGTACCATGATCATAGTGTCGCATGTGCAAGTCTCTTGTCAGGAAGGCACAAGGAGCCTTAGACTTGCGGGGCGTGCCTGGAGGTGTAGTTTTGATAATTCCAGCTAATTAAGTGCTCGGCGCAAATTCGCCATGTTCTACGCGAGTTTTCGAACAAGGAATCCTTGGGCTTGGCCAAGAGCGAGTCCGCGCATCCAGGCAACCATGTGCAAGCAAAACTGGGCCTGTGAGCTTGTCCACGCCCTTGTTGAAAGCACCACCAAGGTGTTTCAAGCTACGTGTTTTCAAGTTCATTACTTCATAGAAACAGAGATTTAGACTCTTAGTACACGATTTACAAGTACTCAATCTCCAGTATACGTATGGCTATGATGTTTTATCAGGGTGCCGCCTCAAAAGTGGTTGGTGGAAAATGAACCCCCACCTGAATGATGTCCGCCAGAGAGTCCAGGACTCATTCAAATTCACACCCATATGGCCTATGGCCGTGGGCAAGCACCAATGGTACCATTTTGGGGTAGGTGCCCCGCCCATTTGAGTCTATTGTAGTGGGGATTGGGATGTTCACTGGGGGTACGATTTGGGTTTTGACCCATAGCCAGATGCTCTTCTTGCGGCACCCGTGTTGCTCCAAATCCGTGTGCCAGGTGTGCAGAAGCTTCGATCAAGCAAGTGATGCCAAGCACGCGTGCGACTCTCAGTGTCTGCAGTCCCTGCATTCCGCGGCCACGGCGACACGAGCTAATACGAAATGGATGGACGGTATGTGTCAACAAAGGGCACCCTTTGAAATGGTTCCTTTGGTTTCCCTACAAAACCTACCAACAGGAGGTTCGCCCTAGAAAGGACACACCTCTATGGTGGTTCCTATCAACGCTGATTGGCTCTACACACATTTGAGGTGTTGCTGCTGTGTGCATTGAGCTATCCTTTGATCACTGGACATGTGAACAATGTTTAGGCAAGATGGTTCTTGCTTTTTTAGCTTGTTAGCACCCTTTGGGACTTGACCGGTTGACCACTATCAAGCCTAGATTTTGTTGCTTCGCATATGGTTAGCTTCATCGACCCAGCTTCCGCTCTCTCCTGTGTACCCTATAGGCATCAACTCATTCGGGTCAGACGCTGCTCCATGTCACGCGGATGGATTTATCAGATTTGTTAAAACTTGCCAGAAACAATCCAAGTCAGTCCATGGGGTCGAGCAAGACTTGCTGAGGCAAGCCGGGCAATAGAATTGCCGTGGGAAAATTGTACGTAGTCGTAGCTACCCAGTGCCCAGCGCTGTCAGGTGTTTGCGTTGGCGATGCTTCCCATTTGTTCAAAATTAAACAACCAACACCAAACACCAGCACTCGCTAGTTTTGGAAGCGGGCCACGCTTGGAATTCTGAGCAAGCAGCAGTCAGCAGTCTTAAGATGAGAGAAAGCAATGCTATCATGTTATGGAACATCATGATATGTAACTAGCTAGTGGATAGAAGGGAGCCAAGTAGCTGTGGGTATAAATGTATGTGTATATATATATATGTGTCCAAATGTGCCTTTCAAGAGGGACACTTTTGGATCTACCAGGAGTTCTGCAAGGACATACCACAGTTTGCGGTCCTTGTCAGGTGAAGAGTGGTTCAGGAGAGTTTCGCATTCATAATGAATCCGTCTGAAAGAAAGACATCTCTCCCCAAACCACTATGACCAACAAATTGAGCTCCCTTATGACAGCCATTGGTCATATCTGGTCAGATCCGGGTGTAGCGCGGCATCGGCGAGGATTCTCTAGGTTGGAAACCCAGGTTCAAGACTTTGCGGCTTGGTGCCTCGTCAACGATATTCATAGGGATGGCAAGTGCAGTGTCACAAAAGGCTTCTCAAGTACGGAAGCCCCTAGGCAAGCAACCGATAGGGAGGCCCAAAGAGAAACATGAAATCCACACCTTTGTTGAGTTGGCAAACGCTTTCACTTTTGGTTTCTTTGGTTGCATTTGTTCAGGCAAAAGTTGCGTGCGTTGATTCAGGTTCCATGGGAGCTCTCCGGTCTGAGGCTATTTGTGGAGGACTGCTGGGACTTCTTACGCCGAGCTGCAGATGAAAAGAAGCTCTTCGACATTGCCTGGCCCCCGGCCTGCGACGGACGTACGTTGCTAGATGTCGATTTGTGTGGGAATCCAAGACTACCCATTTTTGACGACGCCAGACGGGCTGAAACCCAGGGGTGGTGTAGGTCCCCAAAAGGGACCACCCTGAGTTTGGGTCTATCTTGGGTAGTCAAAAGATGGAGGCGGATTTACTAGCCAATCGTTGGAAGGGAGCCAAGGAGCTGAGGGTATCCAAATTTGTCTTTGAAGAGGGAGCTAAGGAGCTACCAGGTGTTCTGTAAGGACATGGTACTTAAAGTGAAGCAGCATAATGCGAATGATGTGGAGGGTCAATTGTTTGACACATCCGTGTCAGCCATGCACGTGTTTGTCGGAGCTTGGTGCACGTACAACTTAAGCACAAGCCCCTGATTGAACCCTGGCTAGCTGACATGAAGGGCCTGCTATGAAGCCTTATTGTTGAGATGTTGTTGTTTTGTTTGCTGTTTGCTTGCTTGCGTGCGTGCTTGCTTGCTTGCTTGCTTGCCTTTTCGATTTGTTGCTTGCTTGTTTTTTTCTTTGCATTCCGCCGAGCCGAAATCTGAGGGCGCGATTCCAGCGCCAAGTTCAACGGAACTAAGTCGCTTTTAGGTACATATGGCGACGCACAACTCTAAATCAGGTCGTCTGCCCAAGGGGACCTGTCAGAGTGTGGCTTTCTGGTGGAAGGGTTTTTGGGTTTGGGGAACTGCAGAAATGCGGGGGCCGCGGTCAGGCAGCACAGCAGAAGCTTCCATTCCCAAACTGAGATTCCTCTCCTTTTTAATTTTGCAGTTTCGAACACTTTGTCAATTTTCAGTTCCAGTTGCCCACTTTAAAACGGGGCCTTGCTCAGGCAATATGGGGACGTTTAGACGGTGTTCCTCTTGGCTCATGATTAAACTGGCTGTTTCCCCGGTGAAACGTTCAATTCAAGGGGTGACTCTGATATATGACTCCCTCATGAGAAAGCCTCTTCTTGGATCCTTATAGGGCCGTCATATCTTCGTGCTTGCGTGATGCATTTCTCAGTGATGTCACTCGCCTCTACTTTGCACCAGAGTGTTCGATGCTATCAGAAGTCTTTGTACCCTTCCACAGTTAGTAACAATCGATTGGCACATGGACCCCGAAATGGTGGCCCACCCATTTCCCAGTTGAAATCTCCAAGTGTGTTTGCACCCATGCTAACTTATCTGATTGTTGCCCAGTATGAGTGGAAGTAGCGAGCTTCGTCTGGACTGACCCACGTGGCGTTTGAAGCGATCTATCGACTCAGTGGTTGGATTTTCAGCACAGAAAGCTGTGTCAATGAGGTTCAACATGGTTGTATCATTGTTCCGGATAATGGGCTAAAGCGTTAACCGTAGGTGGTCGCTTGTCTTGACTCTTAATAAGTATCCACTTGGGCCACCATTTTGGCTCAAGTGGACCTTTTGATCTTTGGTCTTGTGATTTGAAATCTTTCTTTCCCCTCTCTCAAAGCCATGTACGCCCCCGCCTACGCCGGTGCCGCGGTAGCAGAGGCTAAGGCTAAGGCAAAGGCCTCCATGGCAAAGTACCTGGCGAGCCTCGTGAAGAGGGAGGAAGAAGGATGGACCGTTTTGGCTGCCGAGGTCCCTCAGGCACCTGACGAGCGTTTCTTCTCAAGCGCAGATGAGCTGGAGCAGACCCCCCTTATCCCGGCCAAGCGCAAGGCAGAGGATGAGCCGATGGAAGATGCAGCCCCTGGGGTGGCGCAGGTGCCGAAGGCCCTGACACGCCCCCCAGGGGCGTTCCTGGAGCTCCTGAACCCGCCGGAGGAGGACGTGCCCATGGAGGAGCTCCTGGCGAAGGACGAGAAGGAGCTGCCGATGCCCAGGTTTCCCCTCGGCTGCAGCCCGGCTTGGAGGAGGCCCGCCTGGATGCCCGGGCAGACGCCAAGTGGCAGAGGCGCCGGGAGCTGATGGCGAAGGTCAAGGAGCAGGCGTCCTCGGAGGAGGATGAGAACCCCGCAGCCCCCCCGCCGGGGGGGAGCGTGTTCACCAAGGCCCTCAAGGTTACCAGTTCAGCGACGACCAGATGGCGGGCGACTTCCCTTGCTTCGATGCGACCACGGCCACTAGGCTCCGCCGACTGCAGGCCAAGGACGTCCAGCGGCTCCTGCGAGGCTTTGAGGGCCCCCAACTCAAGCAGGGGGGCCTGGAGCGCGTTGTGGAGGCCTTCTACATCGCCAAGATGAAGTACGAGCATGAGGCCCGGCTCAGCACCCCGGGACAGCAGGTTGGCAAGCGCGCTGGCTTGGGGTACGGGGGCCTGGAGAACCGCCCCCTGGGCAAGGTGCCCACATCCTGGATCTGCCCCTGCTGCACCATGCCCTGGGTGAAGAAGGGCGCCACGAAGTGCATGGGGTGCGGCAAGAAGACGGAGCCCATTGACATGGCGACCAACTCGGCCACCCTGGAGATGGCAGGCACGCATTGGCAGTTGACGGTGGATGACCAGGGCAATGCGGTCTGGACGGCGGCCCGGTCCGCAGGTGCCGAAGGCCCTGACACGGACCGGGCCCGCGACCTCAAGCTCAGTGCCTCGGTGGACGTCAGCGAGCTGGCCACCGACCCGATGGCCTGCGAGAACCCGGACCAGGCCAGCTTCTCGGACTTCGTCCCCTCCTCGGTCCGGGCGGTGATCAGGAACTGCCCCATGGAGCTGGACGAGGAGTTTCTGACGGCCCCACCGGGGGAGAGGCCCCCATTGCCAGGCGACAAGGAAGAGGGCCAGGAATGCAGAGCCTTCCACCCGTCTGCGGTGAAGGCCTTCAAGATTCAGACCCGGCTCAACGCCACCACCATCGCCCAGGAGGAGGCCAAGAAGGCGGACCAGGTGGAAGCGGTGGACCGCTCCGCGGCGGTCCTCCACGAACTTCAAGGGGGGGCCATTGAGTTAGTGGAGGCCTCTCCCGTCCGCATTTTGCCATCCAGTCCTAGGGTCCCCCCCACACTTTTGGGCACAATTCAAATACGCCCACTAAAACAGCCTATTTTCAACATTCAAATTCAATCACCCACCCACTCCAACACCAAAAAACACATATTCACACACCCATCTTCATTTCTTACCCCATCTCAACATCACCCTTACACTCATTCAATAACAACAATCATAACTACATACCACCTCAACAAATCCCACCAAAAAAATCCAAGCTACATACCAACATTTTTTCATTCCCAAGATCGCAACCCCAAGATCTCAATAATTTCTCCCTTGATCCAACCTGAGACCCTTTCCCATTTCCAACAAATACGAACAGTCTAAAAAAGAACGCTATGTTCGCCCCGAAAAATGGTTAACCAATGGAAAAGGGAGAATTAAAACCGTTAACCCAAATCTTGAAAACAATCCCAGTAAAATATGGATGGCAAAATGCGGATCGGGAAAGGCCTAGGTAGGAAAGCACCCCCACGGCTTATATGGGAAAATTAAACTATAATTATAACATATAAACATTTATATGTTATAATTATATTATGATTACAATTTCAGTACAGGATAATAATTTAATTGACAAATCTTTCTTCTTTCATACATCATTTTAAAAATAATATTAACATCTCTCACTGTATTCTGAACATTAAACTTTTTACTTTCAATAAATAATTTGATATTTTCTTTAACATCTTCTCCTTTATCTTGACTATAACACAACAACCATAATATGTCATCCATCATTCCATATTTTTTCATACTAATTTTAAGAAACTGTTTAACATAATCATAAGGTGGTATTTTATTTACAGTTAGAAATATTAAAATATCATCTTCTACATTTCTATGTCGAATTCTTTTTATTCCCAACAGACATCTGATTAATTCTTGATAATATCTCCAATTTCTACAAATTTTACATAAATCTTCTTCATCCATTGAATAATTAATAATATTATTCACTGTTTCATTAGGTAAATTTAATTTATACAATTCCATATTTTCTTTTTTGAAGTGACAACAATCATAGCATTTTTTATTGATATAATTATTGATTTCATCATCGTTCATTTTCCTCTTATTATATTAAGGTAATATTTCTTTAAATACATTTTCAGGGAAACTTTTAAATCAAGCGAATTATAATTACAACATATAAGATCTTACATGTTGTAAGTATAGCAAAACTATGGTATCAAAGGCTTTAATCTATGTATTTCCAGGGGTTGTATTCGTTTCTTCTGTTCCTTCCTTAACTCTTTTGTTGCTTTTACTTTGTCTCTGCATTCCTTACATGTTTTGTAAAATATCTCTTCCATTTTAATTCTGTCATACATTTTGTGAAAGTCCTTTCTTGGCTTTGCTTCGTCGCATTTACTGCAAGGATAAACCATTGTGCATCCTGTTTCTTCTTCATCATCTGTAGAACTCATAATATTAGTTATGCCAATATGTCTTTAAACGGATTTTCAGAGAAACATGTTTTTAATCAAGAATAAACCCCTGTATCTTCATCATAGTCAATTTGATAAAATGTCATAGTTGAAGCCTTCGGTTCTTTAATTTCTTTGTTATTAAGTTTGTTTAAATAAATATTTCTTTTATTTTTATATTCACCATTGGTTCGATCTACTTCCTTACTTTGATAACTGTTTGTTAAAGGTTTCTTCTTTTCCATTTCTTGCAAGATTTCTAAAATATTCTTATTCTGTTCTAAAACCTTGTTCAGTTTTTTAACCATCTTTTCTAATCCTTCATCCATGTAACTATATATATTATATTATAAAATAAAACTTTTAAAACTAAATGTTTAAATTATGTTAAATCTACTCTTTAAACACTAATTTTTCATCATTTGTTTAACAGTTTCCTGAGTTTCCTTATCCCCATTATCGGATGGCGATGCATGTCTTCCCCATTTGATAGCAATATTATGAACATCTGTTTCTAAGTTGATACTGTCTTTAGTTTTATCAATATTCATTTTTTTATCATTTTTACTAATTTTGAAAGTTGTGGGAAAACAC